TGTGTGTGTGTGTGTGTGTGTGTGTGTGTGTGTGTGTGTGTGTGTGTATCTGGGACTGATTTCCCTCGAGTAAAATGAGAGGGTTGGACTAGGTATTCCCTGAGGTATGTTCTGGCAAGATTCAAATTCATTCTTCTTTCCTTCCTTCCTTCCTTCCTTCCTTCCTTCCTTCCTTCCTTCCTTTCCTTCCTTCCTTTCCTTCTTTCTTTCTTTCTTTCTTTCTTTCTTTCTTTCTTTCTTTCTTTCTTTCTTTCTTTCTTTCTTTCTTTCTTTCTTTCTTTCTTTCTTTCTTTCTTTCTTTCTTTCTTTTTCCTTCCTTCCTTCCTTCCTTCTTTCTTTCTTTCTTTCTTTCTTTCCTTCTTTCTTTCTTTCTTTCTTTCTTCTGTTCCTAGACACTATTACCTTAATACTGCCCCTCTTTCACCTTGGAAAAACAAAAAGGGGGAACAGAATCCTTAAAATGAATATGCATAATCAAGCAAAATAAATCCACACATTGACCACGTCTGAAAATGTATGTCTCAATCTGCACCTCAAGACCATTATGTCTCTCTCAGGAGGTAGATAACAAACTTCATCATTTAATCCTCTGAAGTAGAGATTGGTCATTTTACTGATGAAATTTCTTAAATCTTTCAAAGTTGTTTTTCTTTAAGATGTTGCTCTGATCATATAAACAGTTCTTCTATTTCTTCTGCCTACTTGACTTTGCATCATCAAGACCTTTCAGAGAATTAGTGAAAAAATACATGTGAAAATGCTTTAAAGAGTATACAATTGTAAAACGGTATTATGATAATCATTAGATTGTCATCTTAGGTCATCATTTCCCCTTAAATCATTCAGTGGAGTCTGAGAGACAGCAAAGTAAACTGGGCTGTCTTAGGGATGGAATCAAGCCCAGCGGGATTGAAATACTAGGTCCAGTACTTTATATAGCTGTTTAAGTATAGATAAATTACATGATTTCTCTTATAGTTATGTTTCCTCATCTGTAAAATGAGGATAATAATACCTGTATATCATCCTTACTGAACATCAGATGAGATCAATATAATAAAGTATACAATTTTGCAATATCTTAAAAGTGCTATCTTTGAAAATATCTATTATTAGTAGTGATGCTGTATATGCAGCCTTAAAAAAAAAAGCAGTCGAAAAGGGGGCGTGGTATTTGTCTAAAGTATAAGTGTACCTCGAGTACAGTAATGTAACAACTGAGAAAGTTTGCCGTGATTTCAGTTTTTGTTGATCAAGTCATAGGCTTATAGATCTTGTACTGGAGCAAACCTCAAAAGCCACTGAGTCCAGACTTCTCATTTTATTGATGATTGATGATAATAACTGATATTTATACAGTGCTTTAGGGTTTACAAAGCACTTTATAAAAATTATCTCACTTTATCTTCACAACAACCCTGGGAGGTAGATGCTATTGTTATCTCCATTTTACAGATGAGGAAACTGAGGTATACAGAGGTTAGGTGACTTTCCCAGGAAGTATCTGGGGCTGATTTTGAATTCAGGTCTTTCTGACTTAAACTAGAGCACTGTATGCACTATGCCAGGAAAATTGAACCTTAAGGAGTTTCAATAACTTCCCTAAGGTCACACAGTAATTATCAGAAGTAGGATTTAAACCCAGGTCCTCTGACTCCAGAGTCAGTGCTTTTGTCATTGAATAAGGTGCTTCTATATTTTTGAATTTCATTTGATGACTAGTTGGTATAGTGGATATAGCTCTGGGTTTGGAGTTAGGAAGACCTGAGTTCAAATACTGCCTCAGACACTTACCAATTGTGTCACCTTGAGCCAGTCACTGTAACCTTTGCCTCCATTTCCTCATCTGTAAAATATAGATAATAGCATCCACCTGCCATGCCTGTTGTGTCAAATAAAATAATATATTTAAAGCATTGTGCAAACCTTGAACTAAAATATTAATACGAGCTGTTATATGACATGTGTTTGTTCAGGCATGTCTGACTCTTCATGACCCCCGTGGACCCTATACAGTCCAAGGAGTTTTCTTGCCATCAAGACAGTGGAGTGGTTTGCCATTCCCTTCTCCAGTGGACTAAGACAAGCAGAGGTTAAATGACTGTCCGGGGTCACACAGCTAGTAAGGGTCTGAGGTCAAATTTGAACTCAGATCATCCTAACTTCAGGCCCAATGCTCTATCCACTGAGCCATCTAGCTGCCTCTCATATGATATGCTATGAAACTGGAATTATATTTTCATAGGAAGACTTTTGCTATTAACTTTAAGAAGAATCATGGCAAATATTTTCAAATCATATACTTAATGGAAAAAATAGAATTTTCTGATAAAAGAACAATGCTCAAAGCACATGATAGGTGCTGATAGTAGGGAATCCACTCATATCTTCCTGGGTCTTGTATATCTGATCTATTTGAGATAACTTAAAAGCTGTGTCTTGCCTGTTGGGGTAATAATAGTCTTTTCATTCCAAAGCAGGGATCAATACTCACCTCCTCTAGGAAGTTTTCCTTCTCTGCACTCCAATCAAACCTACCCTTGTTCACTCCTTTATTTATTCTTTATAGTTCTTCAATACTATGGAGGATCTCCCTGATGTATGATGTGGGTGCAGAATTGACTGAGATAGCAATCTGTCTAAGCTTTCTCATCCTTGTGGATTCTTCATCTCCTCCTTCCATAAATCTTCCTTACATTTAACGTTCTCATTAGCTGTGTGACCTTTAGCTAGTCAGTTAATTTCTCTGGACCTGATTTCTCCCTTGGGTAAAATGAGAGAGCTGGACTAGGTACTCCCTGAGGTCTGTTCCAATAACAAAAGCCTCTAGAAGATATGATAAATGCTCACATTCTCTCTTTGTCCCTTGTTCTTTTCTGTTCTGGTATTCTCACAGGGCCTACCTACCTAATGCAGTGCTGTGTAACTATAAAGCTCATTAATGTTCTGTGAATAAATGAAATACACCTATTTTTACTCCCAAGGTAAAACTCACAAGTTAAAAGCTATTGGCCTAGTTTGGCCATCTCTTATCTCTTAATGGTTTGCTTATTTAACTAAGGGCTTTAAACTAGAGCTATTTGTACTTAAAGAGTGCTTAAGTAATCTGTCAGTTTCAAAACAAAACAAACCTCAAGGCCTCTACTTTCCTTAAAGCTGCTTGATCTTTCTGCCCAGTGAGGGTATCACTTATCTTGTGGTTA